TTATCTGACAATGCAATTTGATAGAGTCGTTAAACGAAACGAACGACATTTAAACTCAGGTTAACTCAACTCGCTAACTTTCGAGTTTGGTTCAACTCGTTTAGAGTTCAAGCTCGTTAGGCTTTAAAATATAATTTTTATGTAGTATTGTATAACTTTAGTCGTTAAGTTTCGAGTGAATCGGCTCGTTATAAACATTGATAAATGAATAGATAAAGAAGCTCAGGTAATGTCGACCTCGGTTCATCTCGACCTCTTTTATCGGCTCCGAATATCACAAGGTCAATATCGACTCATTTACGATTGTAGCAACTAGCGAGTGTGTATACTTGAAAGTATGTATGATTAAATGTAAGCAAAAGCACATGGGACAAAGCTTTAAAGAAATACAGAGCTAACAGACTGCTGAAAAGCCCATCAATGGCAAGACGGGTTGGGCTTAAAATATTGAGCTCGTGATGGGCTTACTCAAGCAACGTAACATGGCCTATTTGACAATTTATTTTATATATTAGTGATTGTCGGCCATAATTGAGATGATAAAAGTTTCTGTCATTTACGGTTACGGCATAATCTTGCATACAAACATAAAATTATTGTTGTTATTATTATTGTTTTTATATATAAAAAAAGTTCCCAACATTAATTCCTTTTTATTGGAATAGTTTCTGTCAATTTCTGATACCTTGAGTAGCTCATGCCATGTGAATCATATCCCTAATCCCTTCCCCTATATATTAATTTAGAACGTCTTGATCCTATGTTGCAGACTCGCATGCTTCGAGTTTCTATGTGACAAAATTACATGTTTCGTATATATATTAATTTAGAACGTCTTGATCCTATGTGGCAGGCTCGCATGCTTCGAGATTCTATTTGGCAAAATTACATGTTTCGTTATTAGGATGAGGTAGATTTTAATTTACTTCCAATCTAAAAATAATAAGGTCTGAATTATCCATAAATATGTTGATTATTTATGTTCATGTTACATGTATTAATTGCCTTTTGATATCATTTCTTATTATAACCATTGCATTATAAATGTATTTTAAAAGTTAATATTTTTTTGTATTTTTTATCAGTTTTACATATATAATATATCAAATTAATCGTCTATTGATGAGCTTCAATTTAACATCCATATTGTATGTATAAAAAAAATAAATTATATTTATCTTTATAAAAATTATTATTATATGACACATGTAAGTTGCACAAGTAACATGTGTCATTCTAAAATATATAATAATATATATTTTTGTAAATAAAATTAAAATAATTTTCTCATTAATTTTAAATTTATGAATAATTTTTTAACAAGCACCCGTGTAATACACGGGAGTTGTACTAGTTTTAATTGTATCATAACTTAAAATTTGTTAAAAATTGGCTTACCTATCAATTAAAATTATAAAATAACATTTTTTATTAATTAAATTAAATTTATTTATCAAGCCTAAACATGTGATATTGGGTAATAAGTTATTATATATTTTAATATATTAATTGCTATGAATAAATAAATCATTTTTTTTTTTCAACAACAATAATACTAAGTAGGTGGGATTTAATTACTTGGGATAAAATATATGGCGGGGTTTAGGTAGGGGCAGAGAAAACACCATGTTTGTACATTATTTAGTAGAACTTTCTTAGAAAAATTCTACTAAATAACCTTGTACATTTGTCGGCTATTTTATGCAATTTTTTTATGAGTTATGGGCTTATGGGCCTATGGCACGTAACAAGGTTACGTCATTTTTTTTGGTAAATTTAGAGCGGCCCACAGGACTCGAATATTGAGCCATCTTCCGAAAAATTGGCCCATAAATATGTATCTTCATTAAATCTTGGTTCAGCAACAAATAGCCCATATATTTGGTTTATCTTGTTAAATTTTAATTATATCATAACTAACCATGTTTGATAAACAAATGAGTTAGCTTATAATTTATTTAGTTATCTTATAAACTTCTTGTATTCAATTTATTTCATGTAATTACAATTTATTTTTAACCACTAGAATATAATGAAATAATACCAAAAAATATAATGAAATAATAGAACTGAACCGATATATATCGCACTATTCAACTTAGGACTTTGCATTCGCAAACTTTTAATCTGAGATCATTGTAAAAAAATTTAGTTGTCATTTAAAAACTAATTCCTAAAGAATACAATGTTTTTAAATATTTTATTGTTTAAATGTTGTTGCAAAAATATAACGCAAAGTAACGTGAAATAACGTGGAATATCGTAAAAAACGAGCTATTTCAGTATATCGCGTAAACTTTTCAGGAAAACCGCTAAATCTATAAAACTAAGTCGCGTTTTTGGATAAAAAACAATGTGGCGAGCTATTTAAGACATTGGTTTTACCAAACATAGGCCAAGTGTGTTTGGTAAGTAGTATAGTCAATCTTATAACTTATTTGAGTTATATAAGTTTTTTGTATTCAAAGAAGCTTGAATTGGTAGGATTCATAACTTATTTAGTTTGCTTGTAAAAGGTTTGTGTATACAAATAAGTTCAGTTTGGTAGGAAGATTTCTTTTGATAAGTTTTTTTGGGCAACATATATAGTCTAACTAATACCACGAAATATTTATGTAATCACTGAGTATTTTACCATTTGATCAACACACTCTACGTGTATATGTGTGTGTTGATTCAATGAAAAAAAAAAAGAAAAAACTCAATTACTACAACGTAGTCGTAGGTAGAATCGAAATTACCCTAATACCATACTCATGTATATTTGTTGATCCAATGGTAAAAAATAAAAAAATAAAAAAATAAAACGATAACTACACTGCAGTCACCGATAGAATCGAAGTTATCCTAACATCACACATAAGTCCATACTCGTATATATGTGTTGACCCGATAATATTAAAAAACCCGATGACTATAATGCAGTCACCGATAGTATTAATCAAAGTTACCTTAATATCACTCGATGATTACAATGCAATCACTCACTGATAGAATCAGAGTAGCCTTATGGCTTAACTAGTATTCGATCATGTGCATTTGCACAGATGTAAATAAAGGATTATGAGTTATTTGTATGCATATAATGATTAATTATTTTTTTTTTACCTTTTTGTTGGCCAAATTTACAATTAATTGAGTTGGAATATTTTTTTTTTCAAATACGTTTTTTATTTTTAAAAAAAATAATTTATATATAACCACAATAATAACATATAATCACATTATACAATCAACACATTATATGGTCAACTGTCAGTAATCAAAAGTTTAAAATAATTTTTTTAATTATGGAAGTGATTAGTGTTGTTATTTAATAATCTATACTTATATTAAAAGCTATACTATTTACCAAAAATAGTAGCAAGAAAAGTCAACTCACATTTAATGCATACTTTATTTAGAAATTTTTTACTATATGCATTAATTGCTTGCATATATACATTTCCTGTTCAAATATGATCAAAAAGATTCTTTCCTTAAATAATTTTATTAACTTCTGCAATGATTTTACTGATATATATTATAATTCATATTTGTCGATAGTATTTTTTAATTTTTATTTGAGTATATAAAAAATAAATATTTTTTTAAAATTAATATTTTATTTATCATTTAAGAGATAATGATCACATCATTAAATGATATTACTGATGGCTAGATAATAAATTAAAATACATTAATTATTCTTTAAAATTTTGGCATGTTATTTATTTGTATCTATACTTATTATCTAAGGTATCCTATTTACCAAATTTAGTAGATTGAAAAGTCAACGTAATTAATGCATTGCTATTTCTATCTAGAATTTTATTTAATTATTTTATTTATTTGTCTTATGTCTCATAAAATCAGTTTAAGAAAAAAAAAATCACATAACATCTGACAAGTAAAAAAAAAAGACGTAAAATCTTTACTAAAATAAAAATACTTCATTTAACCATATTAACATTGATTTTGTCAAAATATATCTCATAAAATCAATTAAGTCAAAATTTGTACGTAAAGTCTATCAATCAAAAAAAAAAATAAAAAGTCAAATTCAAAATTCATTATCTAATTCCTTCTTTTTCTTATATAATTCCTTCTTTTCTTTATCTATTTTTTTTTTATTATCTAATTGTATAAAAATTTGTTCTGATTTGTTCAATCCTCCAATTGTATTTGTATTATATTCCATAAAATCGGTTTAACAAAAAAAATTCCATAACATCCGATAAGTAAAAAAAAAAGTACGTAAAATCTTTACTAAAATAAAAAGGCTTTA